AAAATATATATACATATATATTAATCATTTAAGACTTAAAATAAGTTGTTAATCAGTTTTAATATTTTTATATATTACACTGCTTGTTGCTCTGTTACAATTATATATTATTTCATTTCTGAGAATTTTATTATTTTATCATCATGTTATTTAACAAAAAAGAAAACATTTAATATTATGTAATCGCAAAACATCAAAATAGATACAGAATTTTTTTCTAAATCACCCAAAGTTAATGGTGAGATAAATTATCAATAGAAGAATAAGATCGAAGTGATATCTTCAATCCGAAAATCGACTCCTTGTTCATGCATTTTGCGATCGTATCGATAATTAATATCGTTCAGTATAGCTCGATTTTGTATATTGACATTCCGAGGTTTTACATGTATCGTCCTGAAATCTGTGATCATATTCATATAATCATGTTTATTGCCGTAAAAAATATTTCTACTTACGGGTTTTACGTTCGGCTTGAAGTCGACATATCTCGCGTAAAGTCTCGAGGCTCCTTATAATTCCATCATATTGCAATCTCGTCAAACGCTTGCAACGTATCAGCATGGACACTAACAAATCGTCGAGCGATTCACGATTGTTCCTAAGCTGCAGCATAACTTCAACTACAAGAGAAGATATTTTTTCCTCATCTTATTCTGATAATAGGTATATAACGATAGGTACAGAATTTTTATTCATGAAAAAAAATTCAATTTATAATTTATAAGGTTTATATGACAAGTGCGGCAGTACTAATAAATATTTTACTTTATATCATTAATTAAATCTCTTCAAATTTATTTAGCAAGTAGCTTGTAAAATACCTAAGGTATTTGTGTATTGAGTAATTATCAGACCAATTGTGTTTCTGAAGTTACGGGATCTACTCTGATCCCATACATGTCCGCTGAACATATGAAATTTGGCTAAAGGGACACTAGGCAGTAGCAAGTAGCACATATCCTCGTAATGTGAGATGTTCACTGAAAATCAGACTTAAAAAGCTGAATGATGCAATAATTCTGAGTAAGTCCGTAAATAATATATATATATATATGAAAGAAAATTAAATCTATTTTTAAACACAAATGAATGGAAAACGTATTTGGACAAAGCGAATCTTCGTGCTTAATATTTTTTGTGAATTTATATAATTTCCAATTTAAGCATCTAAATCAAATAATAATCAATTAATCAAACACAAATAAATAATCTTAATATTATAAGCCTATTCATATTAAATTAAATTTCTGCATTTTTAGAAAACTTTTATAATAAAAAATAAGCTTGAAAAATGATCATATAATAATTCTGGAAATAAAAAAAAACTGATATAAAGATGAAATCTTTAACAAAAGTTAAAGCAATTGAATATATACAACAACAATGTTATACCTATAGTATAGGATACGGTCAAGTCAGGGCAAGCTAACACTAAATTGCGCCAAGCAGCGTCCGCTACCATGTGTTGCCTAGAATCCGAATCTCTTACGGATATATACAGGTATTTCAGTGTTTTCGATGCTCCGCTTGCAAGAGCATCAAGAGCATGATTCGATAAAGCTGGATAGTCCAATTTCAACAGAGTTAGCGCGTGAAAACGACCTAGTAAGCGTAAGTACCTAAAAAATAATTTAAACACATTGTGTCAATCACAATTTATATAAAATTGTTACGAATAAAGTTATGAAAAAGTTATGAAATCCTCAAGTTATGAAAAATGTTCTTAAAATTTTCATTTAACACAATTTAATTCTCATTTATATATTCATATATATAT